TAGGTCATAGGAACAAAGATTTAGAGTAACAAGGAACCTCAGAGACCATCTAGCCTGATCCCCTTGTTCAGAGATGAGATCAAGGGAGATTAAATGACTTGTCCAAAGTCACACTATTGTTAGAATTTGAACCGGGGGCCTCTAACTCCAGAGCTTCATGACCTCTAGTGTCTCTTCCCACTCTAAAGTCCAAGAACTTTATGATCCTATAATTATTACATGGTATCTATACTTAGATGTCTCATTAGCATTTCTGTTGTTTGCGCATTTCCCTAGACTATTTTTTTTTTTTACTTTTAATGCCTTGTTAAAGCGGGGCTCTGCTTCCAGGATAGAGGACACAGTGTCCTAAGCTTCAGGGGTTTTGTGCAAGTGTTTTCAGAACTGCTTCTAGAGACCTATAAGTTTTCAGTTCTTCCAAGTTGGTATAATCTAAGGAGAGGTGCTTACTACCCTCCTGGCCTGTGAGCGACCACAAGAACTCTTTTCTGCCCTGGAATTGTGACAAGGGTCTGCCCTCCACTGTGGCCATGAGTTCTGCTATGCTAGTACTTCTCGCCCTGAGACTGCCACCCAGGACTGGGACCCAGATCCAAGTATGGGCAAAGCAAAAGAGTCCTGCCTCAGTGCTAGTAAAATGACCCCTGTAATCTCCTTCTCACCCATTGTTCGACAACCCTTATTGTCTGTGGGCTAAAAGCTCCAGAAGCAACAGCTACTGCTGCTGATTCAGTGGATCCCAAGGCCTGCTCCTGGTTTCCTGGGTCTGGCCTGGCTCAGCCTGTTCTAGACTGTGCTCCATTCTCAACCCGGTATGATAGACATTTCCTGCTGACCTTCTAAGTTGTCTTTGGCTAGAAAATTATTTCACTCCATCCTTTTGTGGGTTCTGATGCTCCAGGAATTATTTTATGGCACTATTTAAAGGTGTTTAGAAGGGTTTGGGGAAGAGCTTAGGCTAGTCACTGCCTTTTCTCCACCATCTTGGCTCTACCGCCCCACTAGAGTTTTAAATTCAACAAGTTAATCTTAACTGTGACTGAATTTCTATACAAAACCTGTTCTTCCTTCTGGCATCCCTATTTCTTTTAGTGGTACCAACATTCACTCTGCTATCCATGGTCAAAGTTTTGGCGTTACCTTTGACTCTTCTGTGGCACTCACATCCTCCATCTAATCAATTTTTATCCATTCTACCTCCTCAATACTTCTGGCAATAGTTCATCTCTTTCTATTTTCACTACCACCAACTTATCCTTTAGTGGACTATCTAAATTGCTCTTTCTATCTCTAATCTCTTCCTCTTAGGATTCATCCTTCATACATTGTTTGGTCACTATTCCTTATAAATAGATGTAATAAGGTCACGCTTCTGCTCAAAATCCTTCAATAACTCCTTATTAGAGATCACATAAAGTACAAACTCCTTTTCTTGGTAGTAAAGGCCTTTTCCAACTTTTATTATGAATTACTTTTTTCCACATAATTTAAGCCCTATCCAAACTAGACTGCTTGCTATCCTCAGCACAGATTGTGTGCTCTCACTTTTGTGTCTTTGCCTGCCCTTGCTTTTCTCCCTTTTGAAATCCTACCAGTCATTAAGCCTCAGTTCAAATGCCACCTGTTCCATGAAGCCTTCCAGGTTTCTCTTAAATGGAAATAATCTCTCTCTTCTTGGGCCTCAATAATACTTTGTACTCATGTATGTGTGTGCCATTTTGTATGATAGTTACTTGTAAATGTCTCCCTGTTAAATCGTAAATTTCATGGCATTAGGGACTTCATCTTGTCTATGTCTGTATTTTCTCCAGGGCTCAGCACCATGCACATGTTCACTGTGCACATTTGAAGTGCCTAAGAAATGTTTGTTGAATCTATTAAGGAGAGATCAGATGAGGTGGATGTTTTATGTGGTTTTCAGCCCAATCAAATTGATTCTGGCTTCTACAAGGTTGTGTGCCAATGTAATAGACCACAAATATTCAAGCACAGACACATCCCATTCCTGATTATTCATAATAAAATCCATTCTTCTGTGGTTTTCAGGGTGTGTAAGTTTCTCTTTGCAATCTGTAAACTCATTGAAAAAAACCACTAGGTTCTTCTTTAAGTAACATGACCCTACCCTGATCTTACACACCCTTCAAAATGTTGGAAAATCAAATTTGATGAAAGTATAATGAATATTATAAAATTCTCTTTCAAATGGTGGTCTACACTAAGTGAGCCTGTACAGGGGTGGGGAACTTGCAGCCTCAAAGCCAATGTGGCCCTCTTGGTTCTCAAGTGTGGCCCTTTGATTAAATTCAAACTTCACAGAACAAATCCCTTAATAAAAAGATTTGTTCTGTAAAACTTGAATTCTGTCAAAAGGCCACACCCAAGGACCTAGAAGGCCACCTGAGGCCTTCCGGGCCACAGGTTCCCCACCCCTGGGCCCTAGTATAATATATAGATTACTGGACCTGGAGTCAGGAAGACCTAGGTTCAAAATCCATTTCTGGTATTTAACAGCTATGTGACCATGGACAACATTTAACATCTCTGAGTTATAGTTTACTCATCTGTAAAGTGAAGGTATTAGACTGGATGATCTTTAAGATTCCGTTCAGTTCTAAATCTTATGAACCTATATCAGAATGTCTTTCATCTTTGTGTGTTTCAAGATCACAGACAGTGGTTAGAATAGTGGAATCTAACGGTTGGCTACTCTTGAATGTCTTTCCTCTTTTCTCCTATCAATCCATTTGATATTTATAGAAATTTTCCACAGCATAAAATTACAATAGCTTACATTTATGTAGCTTTATAATTATCAGTTATTTTACACACTGGAACTATTCTTAGTTTTCTCCCTTCTTTATGCTTATCAGCTAAAGCTCCATTTTAATACCATCTCTTTTTTTCTCTTTCACCTCCATTCTACCCAATCAATTATAATACTATTAGGGGTTGTCACTTTGCTGAAACTATCCTTTTTTTCTCACCATTTGAATTAATTTTGTCTCTTTTCTTTTATCTTTCATTCTACTCCCTCAAGTAAAATTTTTGACCAGCAACACACATGAAGTTTTGCCATGATCAATTTGATACAGTAACACACACTTTTTTTAAAAAAAAAATTATTCATTTTTAGTTATCAACATTTGCTTTTGTAAGATTTTGAGTTCTAAATTTTTCTCCTTCCTCCACTCCCCACTCTCCAAGATGGTATGCAATCTGATATAGGCTATACATGTATGATCATATTAAACATATTTCTATATTAGTCATGTTGTGAAAGAAGAATCAGAACAAGAGGGAAAAACCATGAGAAAGAAAAAACAAAAAACAGTAAAAAAAAAAAAAGAGGAAATAATATGCTTCAATTTGCATTCAGACTCCATAGTTCTTTCTCCGGATGTAGATAGCATTTTCCACTTCCATTTCCAAATAAATAAATTTTGGAATTGTCTTAGATCGTTTCATTGCTCAGAAGACCTAAGTCTAACAATCCTGGGGGGACTCCAGCCTACCCATAGTAGTTGTGCTCAAGGGGGCCGAGCCACCGGTCACCAAGAAACAGAATGTAGAGAGAAAAGAGGAGAGGCCCCAAGATAGTGACCACATAATTTATCTGGGGAAACAACATGCAAACATGAAAAATGGATGAAAGATGGAAAATATAAATTAATGGTTTGATACAACAACATAAGAATTTTTTCAAAGCTATACAAGTGAAACCTTGGTCTGCATCCATGAGGTAAATTTATGCAACAGAGCCCAGACTTGAAGCAATTCTGAGCTTATGAACTGGTTTGTGTCTATTCCTCCATTTACAGATAAGAAGTCTCTAACCATGGGATGAGGTTTTAGCTTCCAGCCCTATACTAGGAAAGGCCCCTCTCTAGCACCTTCATGTTGCAAACAAAGCACAGCAGACAACTTTAAAAAATCAGTCACGGGTGTTTATGAAATTATTATTAAAATGTGGCAAATGTAGAATTCCAATAATTTTTTAAAAATACACAGAAGTAGGACAAGTATAGGATAAGAACCAGTCTTTCCTCTTAAAAGATATTCCCTCAGCATTCCTGCTACTGGAATGAATGTTACATAAAAACCCCCAACAGTCATATGCTTCTCTGCTTGTTATCCTGGTCCCCACACACCACACACACACACATATAAACATACCATGCAAGTGCATCACCCCCCCCACACACACATATTCCATCTCCAGTTTCCTCTCTTCCTAAAATGGGAAGAATTACAAATCCCCAAGGACTTTGCAGCCAGTTTACCTCTTGTCCTGGATGATTGGTTACACATGATTACCATATTGTTAAGAAAGTTCAGAAATATACCCTGAAAAATAACACCTATTTTAGGCCATACTCCAACTTTATAAAATCCGTATTTGGAGGTAAGTGTGACCTGTCCCAAAATAATACAGTAATTTTTAAGTGAATGGTGCCAGTGGTAGGTGATTTTATCATACTTCTCTCTATTATGCTTTCTTCTCTATGTAACGGTTAGCAAAACTATTCTAAGTTGGATTGTAGCACTATGAGAAGCTCTCCTGCCCAGCACAGAGACAAGGCTACTGGCATTATATGTGTCTATGAAGCATGAGGACAAGAGGGGTGCACAGTGCATAGCGCACTGTCCTGGGAGTCATGAAGACTTGCCTCAGACATATGCCATTTGTGTGACCCTAGGCAAGTCACTTACCCTGTGCTGGCCTCAGGTTCCTCATCTATAAAATGAAGATAATAAGTAGTACCATTTTCCAGAGTTGTTGTTTGGATCAAATGAGAAAATGTTTATAAAGTGCTATATAAATACTAGTTATTATTATTGCTATTGTTCTTTAAATGCTGTGATCTCAAGCAAATTCTCATTCATTGGCCAAATGAGTTTAAGCTACTTTTTTGCATTTCCAGAGACTAAAAAGTCTTGTGTTCTATCACTGTGAGATTTATTATTTATTGATGGCTGTCTCTCTCCTCTGCCTCTAGGCCAACAGGAATGGGCACAAAAACCCGAGGTTTGGAACGATGGATGATTGTCCTTATTGTTATAGCAGGACTATTGATTACCGGCATAACTGTTGGTCTTCTGGTTCATTTCTTGGTCGCTGGTAAGTATAACTTGGAAGGAAATTTCCTTAATTTCTTTTCCCCCAAGATAACTTTTCCCTACACGCATGTGAAAATAATGAAATTGGGATCTTTTAGGTGCTGTTTCAGAAATGATTGTTAGTTTAGTAGAGAATACCCTGGATTTGGAATTGGAGGATCTGAATTTAGATCCCAGCTAGCTGTGTGACCTTGGGCAAAGCACTTAACTCTTTGACCTCAGTTTCTTCATTCATAAAATAAGGGAGTTGGATTAATGAATTTTTAAGGTAATTTCCTAATTCTGAATCCTATAATCCCATAAGATACAATTAATCAGCTTAGCTATTGTCTTCCAAACAATAAAAGGTTATGTATGTATGTATGTGTGTACAAATGTATGTATGTATATGCATATATATGGAATATTCCTTATTCATTTAAGAAAAAACAAACATGAGGCACTTGTTACAAACTGTTCCATATTCATTCATCTCCTGGGATTGTAAAACCATGGATCTAGAGCTGAAAGGAATCTCAAAGTCCATTTAATCCATTCCCCTCATTTTACATACGAGGAAACCAAAGCACAGGAAGGTTGTGACTTACCCAATGTCACAAAGCCAGCAAGGCATAGACCTCCTTTCTCATAACATACTTTTTTTTCTGCCAACTTTTCTGTACATCAAGAACTATGGCAGAAATGATGTATTTATTTTATGTTGATTTGTGGCCATGTCCTAAGTAAAATTCACTAAAATTATATTTTCTCTATCACTTATTAATGTCAGACATGCACATACACATGGGAATAAATAACTTTCTTTTTTATGTAGCAACTTTCTCCATGGAGCTCAGTGTATACATTATCTAGCAAATTAATTGCAATGCATTAGTACCTAGTAAAATATAAGGCCCAAGCTCTCTGCTTTCATCTCCATTTCTATTGTTGCTGCCTAAGGATTTGTGGACCTTTTTCTTGCAGCTCTAAATGACCTTAAAAACACAGGCATTTTCCCTATGTCCCACAGCCTATCTGTACTCTTTCTCAGAGATAAAGTACCCCTAGCAACGTATGTATTCATTAGCTAATTGAACAAATAAAAACTATTTTGATGTGTCTGAGAATTAATTATAGCAAGGTTATAAAGAGGAGTAAAAAACCAAGAATCACTACAAGCATTATCTTCAAAATACATTTAATACTTAAGGACAAAAGTTCATTAGCTTTATGCAGCAAAAAGTACAAATTCTTTATACTCAGATTTATATATTGCAGTAGATAGAGTGCTAGACTGGAGTCAGAAAGACCTGAGTTCAAATCCTGCCTCAGCGAATTACTAGCAGTGTGACACTCACAAGTAAACTTCTCCAACCCTCATTTTCCTCATTTGCAATACAGGGATAATAATAGCACCTACCTTGCAGGGTTTTGTGGGGATCAAATGAGATAAGTTGTATAAAGCAATTTTCAAAACCTAAAGTGCTATATAAACACTATTTATTATTAATGAAGTTATATGTAATAGTATGTACATTATAGGTCAACAATGTCAATGAAAAATAAAAATTCATCATAATTATACACAAGCAGGCAGTTTGAAGTATAAAGATTCTTTATGGGGCAAATGATATTCCATCTGAAAATAAGTATTTATTAGATACACCTTAGTTCTACATGTCTTGGATGAGACCTTAGAAGCTGGCCTACATCTTTTAACCTGGGATTTATGAGCTCATTTTAAAAATATTTTGGTATATTTATTTCAAGATACTTGGTTTTCCTTTCTAATCTTATGTGTTTTATTTTGTTAATTCAAAGACATTATTTTAAAAAAAGGTTCATAGATTTCACTAAAGTTCCAAAGGTATCCATGACGTAGAAAACGTTAAGAATCCCTGATCTAGCCCCATCCTGGACCAAATTTTTCTCTAGATAACCATCTAGAGAAATTTGTTTCTCTCCTTACTTTTGCCTTCAACTGTAAGTTCAAGGTATGCTTAAATATTCAAATGGGTCTGTGTTCTCAAAGATTCAGGAATTCCTTCCAAAAATGTAGATCATGGACCTTTGTAGGTCAAGAGTTAGGTCTCTATAATCATGTTCTACCTACAATTCAAACTAAACTTTTTGAACACTGAGACTAAACTTATTCCCAGCTTTTTTACTTGTCTCCATTACCCCCTAACTTTTTTACTTCTTCCAAAAGTTAATCTATACACATACTTTCCCTCTCTCAGATGTTTGAATTTCATACTTTCAGTCACCCATTCTTGGATTGCTGCATTATGCTCATTAGAAATTCACATTTATAAGCCTATTGATGAACAAAAAAAAAAGTAACCATTTTGACACCAGTAAAAAGGGAACTTTCTGGACAGATATACAATAGAATATTGCATCACAGTGGCCTGATCATGGACTCAGTACAAACCTTTATTAGTGCTGGGTCTAAGACATATTTCTTCCTAGACTCAGGGTCTTATGCCCAAATCTCATCCTTATTTTTCTTTTGTTTTCTTTCCAATGCAGATCAGAAACTGGAGTATTATCATGGCACCTTTAAAATTTCAGATGTACAGTTGAATGCCAATACTGAGCAAGGCTATGCATATCATTATAAGGACTTACGTGAAATAAGTGAAATTTTGGTAGGTCCAGATTTTTCTATTTTCTTCATAGAAATTTAGTTGGAGGAAATCTAAAGACAATCTAATTCAAATCCTGAATTTTGAGAATGATGAAATTCTCTCAGGTCAAGCAGGAGTCCATTCCATTTGGTGAAGCCCTAATGGTTCATATCTATTACAGTTATTTTTTGTATCATAATAGCTGATCATTTGTAGCATATTTTAAGGTTTGAAAAATATTTTACATATATTATCTCATTAGAAATGTACAAAGAACAAAAACAATGAAATATACAAAGATGGAATCAACTGTTTTGTGGGGTAGTAAGTATCCCATCACTGGAAGGTTTGTAGAGGGAATTTAAACTTCATATTGGGGTTAGACTACATAGGTTCGAGGGGCCCTTCTATTTCTGGAACTCAATGCTTTTATACAATGACTCTGAAAGCAAGTGAGAAGCAGAGTATGCACTGCTACCCAAATCTTTTATTTCACATTCTGATGCTTTAAATTTTATACCACATTTCCTCCTACACATCTCACAAATGTTCATTCATTCAACTATCACTTCTTAAACAACCCTCCATGTGATAAGAGAAGGATTTTTTAAAGAGTCTTTTCCTTTGTAGAATTTAAAATATAATAGAGGTATTTAACTTACATGCAAATAACTATAATAGGTAATAAGTATGTGAGAGGTATGAAAATTATGATTCTTCTAAGTCTTAGTGAGGAAACATCTTTACCAATTATTCTAAATTTGTAGTCAGCATACTTGTATTCAAGTCTTGTCCTGACACACATCCTCCATGTGGCTGAGCCACTCATTTCACATTTCTAAGTCTTAGTTTCTTGATCTGTAATGCAGCAAGAATAGCCTCAACTCCACAACAGGGCTAGTAGACTATGGAATTTCTAGAACCTCCTCCAGCTCTAGGATTTAGTGAAATACTAAGAGGTAACTGATTCTAATTTAGGCCACTAGAAGAAAGATATAATGGATAGATGAGGGAAAGAATAAGAATTGGGGGAACCAGTTAGGTAAAGTTGAATATAGCTACTACAGATACAGAAAGTCTAACTTATGTAGACTTTAATACCCCAAAACTTTTAGTGAACCATTAGATATAAATATGTAATATTTATAAAAGCTGTTACACGCCCTAGGGCAGGTAGGTCACTGGTTCAGTGGATAGAACCCCTGTCCTATAATCAGGAAGATCTGAGTTCAGATCTGGCCTCAGGCGCTAGCTGTGTGACCCCAGGTAAGTCACTTAACTATTTGCCTTAGTTTACTCTCTATAAAATGAGCTGGAAAAGGAAATGACAAACTATTCTAGGATTTTTGCCAACAAAACCCCAAAAGGGGTCACAAAGAGTTGGACATGACTGGAATGAATGACAGCAGTAAAGACCCACTACAGCCAGAATCAAGTTAAGTTAACATTTATTAAAAATTTACTATGTGACAGACATTGTGCTAAGTGGCAGGAATAAAAATATGAATAGTCTGTTGCCATAATTTTACATATGTGGGCAGCTAGGTGGTGAAGTGGATAGAGCACTGACCCTGGAGTCAGGAGGACTTGAGTTCAAATCTGGCCTCAGTCACTTAATGCTTACTAGCTGTGTGACCCTGGGCAAGTCACTTAACCCCATTGCCTAGCCAAAAACAAAAACCCAAACATAATTTTACATATGGGGAAACTGAGGCCCAGGAAGTGAAATGATTGTGTGATCAAAGGTGACACAGGGTTCCAATCCAGAGCTCTTTTCACTACACCATGACATTTCTCAATTAGATGAGTTATGACAATAATGGCACTGATATTTGTAGGAAGGCTACTTTATGTAGCCTTCAGCACAAATAAATATATTTTTATAGCTTATACATGTGTGAATTACACAAAAGATATGTGATTTCATCATATTATTATACAATAAATGCCAACCATAGATGTCATGTAACAGGCTGGCTTACTCAAGGCAATCGAAAGGCTTGAACTTATTTAGAAATATTCAGACTAAACATCAAGAAGCTTACAAAAGTCTAGTTCCCATCATGCTTCTCACTTCATTCACCCAATATCCCTCATAAATCCACAATTGAGCATTTCACAATTTTAAATATTTTATTCAGGACCTCAGTGATCCTAAAGATATTCCCTTTAAAAAGAAAAGAGGGGGCTTCCAAGAACCAAATAATTAAACGTAATCCCCATCATAACCCCCTGACAAATGGAACAAAGGAGAATATAGCTATAAAAGGAAGAATAGAGAATGCTCAGGTGACTATAACTAGACTGTTAATGCCAATTCCTAAATCTTTGTCTATTAGCAAGACCCTGGAGCTGGGAGTCCAAAGACCTGCACTTGGAATCATATTGCCTTAGAGCTGGAAGTGACCTTAAACAAGCAACTAATCCAGGGGTTGTTAGCCTCTTTTATATATCATGGACCCCTTTAGCAGTCTGATGGCATCTACGGATCTCTATTTTTGAATGCAAAAAGTACACAGGGTTACCAAAAAAAACCTTAATTATATTAAATATAGTTATCAAAATATTTAAAAACAAAAATCTTCCAACCCTAGATTAGTACCAATGTAATTAGTAATCCACACCCCTTGCCCTAATCTCATTTTACAAATGAGGAAACTAAATTCAAAGTTACCCACAGAATTATGGCAGAGCCAGAGCTGTAACTCAGGTTTCTATACTCAATTGATTATGTATGTTATTCCCTCTTTGAACCAATTCTGGTCCAGGACTATTTCTTTTTCTTTTTTCTTTTTTTTTTCTAGAATTTATTTAGTATTTTATTTTTCCCCAATTACATGTAAAAATAATTTTTATCATTTTTAAAACTCCCTTCCACCCTCACCCCCTCATTGAGAAGGCAAGTAATTTGATATAGGCTATACATGTGTAGTCATGCAAACATTTCTATATTAGTCATGTTGAAAAAGAAAACATTGACCAAAAAAAACCAAACAAACAAGAAAAATAAAGTTTTAAAAAGTATGTTTCAATCTGTACTCAGACACAATCAGTTCTTTATCTGGGAATGTATAGCTTTTTTCATTATAAGTCCTTCAGAGTTGTCTTGGATCATTGTATTGCTGAGAGTAGCTAAGTTGTTCACGGGTTATAATATTGCTGTTACTTTGTACATAGTGCATTAGCTCACATAAGTCTTTCTAGGTTTTTCTGAGAGCATCTTGCTCATCATTTCTTATAACACAATAGTATTCCATCATAATCTCAAACCACAATTTGTTCAGCCATTCCCCAATTGATGGGCACCCCCTCAATTTCCAGTTCTTTGCCACTAGAAAAGAGCTGCTATAATTATTTTTGTACATATAGGTCTTTTTCCTTTTTGTTTTTATCTCTTTGGGGATATGGTGGTATGACTGAGTCAGAGGATATGCATGGTTTTATACCACTTTGCACATAGTTCCAAATTGCTCTACAGAATGGTTGAATCAGGTCACAACTCCACCAACAATGTACTAATGTCTTATTTTTCCTACATCCCCTCCAATATTTGTCATTTTCTTTTTCTGTTCTATTAGTTCCTCTAATAGGTAGAGTTCGTACCTCAGAATTGTTTTAATTTAAATTTATCCAATCAATAGTGAGTTAGAGCTTTTTTCATATGGCTATAGATAGATTTGATTACTTCATCTGAAAATTGTTCATATCTTTTGATCATTTATCAATTGGGGAATGTCTCTTACTTTTATAAATTTGCCTTGGTTCTCTAAATGTTTGAGAAATGAGGCCTTTATCAGACACTTACTTCAAAATTTTTTTTCACAGTTACTATTGCTAACTGCATTTTCCCCTCCACATATTTCCCCCCATTTATTCTATTCTCCCTGTCCTTTCACCCTGTCCCTCCTCAAAAGTGTTTTGTCTTTGACTACTCCTAATCTGCCCTCCCTTCTATCATTCCTCTTCCCCTCTTTTATCCACTTCCCCTCTACTTTCCTGTAGGGTAAAATAGATTTCTATACTCAATTGATTATGTATGTTATTCCCTCTTTGAACCAATTCTGATGAGAATAAGGTTCACTAGGGGCAACTAGGTGGTATAGTGGATGGAGCACTGGCCCTGGAGTCAGGAGGACCTGAGTTCAAATCTGCCCTTAGACACTTGACAGTTCCTGTGTGACCCTGGGCAAGTCACTTAACCCCATTGTCTAGCTAAAGAGGAATCTTGTTTTGGGTCAGCTGGGTGACACAGTAGGTAGAGCACTGGCCCTGAAGTCAGGAGAACCTCTGAGTTCAAATCCAGCCTCAGACCAAACACTTGACACTTACTAGCTATGTGACCCTGGGCAAGTCACTTAACCCCAATTGCCTAAAAAAAAAAAGAATAAGGTTCACTCATTCCTCCTCACCTCCCCTTTCTTCTCTTCTACTATAAAAGCTTTTTCTTGCCTCTTTGATGTGAGATAATTTACTCCATTCTACCTCTTTCTTTCCCTTTTTCCTAGTATATTCCCTTCTTACCTCCTAATTTTTTTTAGATATCATCCCTACATATTCAATTCACACCTATGCCCTCTGTCTATATATACTTCTTCTAACTGCCCTAATAATAAGAAAATTCTTATGAGTTACAAGTATCATCTTCCCATGTAGGAATGTAAACAATGTAACCTCATTAAGTCCTTTTATGATTTCCCTTACCTGTTTACCTTTTTATGCTTCTCTTGAGTCTTGTATTTGAAAGTCAAATTTTCTGTTCAGCTTTGGTCTTTTCATCCTCTTGAAAATCCTCTATTTCACTAAATTTCCATTTTTTCCCTTGAAGGATTATACTCAATTTTGCTGGGTAGGTGATTCTTGTTTGTAATCCTAGCTCCTTTGCCCTCCAGAATATCATATTCCAAGAACCTAGCCTAGGAGAGATTCTTGTAAATATTGATCAGTTGTTAAGTACTTCTTGTGTAACTTTTATGTACCCAGTGCTATGGGGCAAAGAGAAGATAAAGACATGATGATCTCAA